GCATGACCCACCACCGCGACCTCAACGGCGACCACTCCTGGGGGGCACCGATTGGGGTGGACTGGCATAGATGGAGATGCATCGACCTAGAATCCCAGACCCCCGACATAATGATTTTTTCATTACGTCGACCCCCAGAGGTCCCGACCCTTTCCCCATGACCGGTTTCTCATCCTGAGTCGTTTTTTGACGCTCCCGAGGCCCGGTGAGGGGCCCCAGAGGCCGAAAATTAGGAAAAACCTCCCGTCATGATTTTTTCATTACTCGAGGGGGTCTGGGATCGGCGACACATCGCCGCGAGATCGGAGACGAGCCCGGATGGTGAGTCCGCACCTCCCTGGGCAGGTTGGGGCCACCGGGCCCTGTCGGCGATCTCTTGGCGATTGGGGGTCGATGCACTCCCCCCCTACCCAGACCCCCGACGTCATCACTTCTCCATGACGTCGACCCCCAGAGGTTTCGACCCATTCCCCGGGACCGGTTTGTCGTCCTGAGTCGTTCTTTGACGGCCACGAGGCCCGGTCAGGGCCCCCAGAGGCCGAAAATGGTGAAAAACCGCCCGTCGTTTTTTGTTTCATTACTCGAGCGGGTCTGGGTATGCCTATTAAAACAGGGCTAGCGGGATAAATCGCTCAAGAGCGTTCTGGAGCGCTCTCAGAGCGTTCCGGAACGCTCTGGAGCGGCCGCGGCGCCCAATACATCCTCCAAACCCGCCGATTCTCAGAGATTTCGGGTTCTCCCGATCCGATGTTGTCCCGATCTTCGCGTCGTTTCATCATCACTCGAGGGGCTCTGGGTATGCCTATATCCCCACCGCATACCGTTGCCCCTGAACTCCGCGTGCCAGGCCCCGCCGTCGCGGCCCTGGAAGCTCGGCGCGCGCGGCTCCGCCTCCGACTCCACGGAGGTCCGGCCCGGTGAGCTCCCCGCGCCCAGGGTGCAGCGGCGCCAGAAGCTGACGCCTCTCAGGGCACCGTCCTTGCTGGGCCCACTTTCCAGCACCACTACCATAGATCGGGGAGGGAGGAGGAGGAGGAAGAGGAGGAGGGAGGAGGAGGAGGAGGAGGAGGAGGAGGAGGAGGGAGAGGAGGAGGAGGAGGAGGAGGATGCGGAGGAGGAGGAGGAGGAGGAGGAGGAGGAGGAGGAGGAGGGAGGAGGAGGAGGAGGAGAGGAGGAGGAGGAGGAGACGAGGAGGAGGAGGCGAGGACGAGGAGGAGGAGGAGGAGGACGTGGAGAACGAGGAGGGAGGAGGACGAGGAGGAGAGGAGGAGGAGGAGGAGGAGGAGGAGGAGGAGAGGAGGAGGAAGAGGAGGAGGAGGAGGGAGGAGGAGGAGGGAGGAGGAGGAGGAGGAGGAGGAGGAGGAGTGGGAGGAGGAGGAGGAGGAGGAGGAGGACGAGGAGGAGGAGGAGGAGGAGGACAAGGAGAACGAGGAGGGAGGAGGAGGAGCAGGAGGAGGAGCAGGAGGAGGAGGAAGACCTCCTCATCATCCTTTCTTCCCCGTCCTACATTCCTGCATTCGGCAGTGGTGGTGGGAAGTTTGCCCACCAGTCCTTCTTCGCGCTCTCCCAGACGTGGAGCAGCTCGAACTCGCCGTCGTGGCCCTCCGAGGCCGCGAGGCACCCCTGCTGCCCCTCCGCCGCCTCGGGGGGCGGCCTGTCCTGCCTGCAGCCCACCACGCTGCCCTCGCTGGCCCCGCTGCAGGCGCTGCTCGAGGTGAGCGTGCGGCGCCGGCGGCGCCCGCGAGCCCCGCGGCCGCCGCCCGAACGGCCGTGGGCACTCCCCTCCGCGCGGTCGTCGGGGGGCTCGTGCCCTCGAGCCTGCGCCGCCGCGGGCCTGGCTTGGGACGCCGGCTGGCCCGTCAGCGACCTGCCAGCCCCGTGGCTGTCCGTGCGCCGCTTCCACGGCAGCTCCTGGGGGGACCAGGCCGGACGTGCGAGCGTCGTGAGGCGACCAGGGCGGAGATTCTCTGCAGCCTTCGGCCTCTGGGAGCCCTCACCGGGCCCAGGGGCCGTCAGACCACGGCTCAAGATGAGAGTCTGGCCCGGGGGAAAAGGTTGGGACTTCGAGGGACGCCGTACTGCAAAGGTCAGGACATCGCATGCCTGGGAGCATTTTCGGTCGGTGGCTGGACCATTCGGCCTCCGAGCGCGTCCTGGATCGAGAAAATGCGGCGGTCGAGCTGGCTCGATGCCCACCGCCCCACTGGAACTGATCCCACTCAGCTGCCGACTCGGCGGCCGAACGGCCTCAAGCGCCCCACGGACAAATCGGGGGTCCCAGAACCGTTTGGTGACAGGCCGCGCGGTGACCTCGGCACCTTGGGAAACCTGACCGCACGCCTGGTCACCGCTCGAGGCCCCGGCAGGGAAGAGCCTGGTTTTCTGTCCCCCGCGGGGTAAAAGCCGTCACCAGCCTCGTCTCCACCCCCCCAAATGACGTCGCGTTCGGCGCCGGCGGCGTCCAGGAATGCCTATGGCTGACCGAGGCCGAGTAGGAGCAGCATGTAGGCGGCGATCTGCACCACAGCGCCTGTGTACACCAATGCTCGACTGCACCACACCGCGCGTGTACACCATAGCGCCTGTGTACACCGCAACAATCGTTTGCAACGCAGCGCCTGTATATATTACAACACCGCGGCAACCATGTGCAACACAGCGCCTGTGTACACCACAATGCACACCACAGCGAGTGTGTACTCTACAGCATCCGCGTGCAATGCACCGCTGGTGGACACCACAGCGCGTACGTGCACAGGACAGGTAGTAGGACCATGTAGGTGAGGATATGCTGCGAGCAGCTAAACTCGACGAAAGGGATGCGCTAATAATGGAACGCGATGTTCGTCCCTATTCCATCCTCCTCCTCCTCCTCCTTCTCCTCCTCCTCCTCCATCATCCTTCCCCCCGTCATGCGGGTCGGCGCTACAGCGCACGAGCGCATCTCAATGTGCATCGCTGACTGATCTATGGAATCCATCCAATTAATTTTCGGACCGTCAATTCTGCGACGGGAGGAGTCAGGATTATGCCGGAGGACTCGGGAGGACTCGTGATTCCAGCGGCGCCCCTTTTCCAACACGGTTGCTGTGGTGCACACAGACGCCGTGGTGTGCTCACGCAGGCACTGTGGTGTACACTGGTGCTATGTTGCACACGGCTGCCGAGGTGTACGCAGGAGTCGTGGTGTACACAAGCGCTGTGGTGCACGCAGGCACTGAGGTGCGCAATGGCGCTGTGTTACAAGCGGCTGCCGTGGTGTACATAGGCGGCGTGGTGTGCACAGGCGCTGTGGTGCATGCAGACACTCTGGTGTATACAGGCGCTGTGGTGCAGATCGCCGCCTACATGCTGCTGCTACCCGTCCTCACAACCATTCCCAAGCATGTTCAGACGCCGCAAGCGCGAAACGTGACGTCATCGGCCTCTTCCCCCCCTCCCATGTGACGGCCGTCATCGCCACGGACTAGAAAAACACACTCCAAAGACGTCCTCGGAGAACGACCCGAGTCCCAAAACCGTGCAGTGACCCCGAATCCCCACTGACTCACCACACGGTGTGGTCACCACACTGTCTGGGCCCCCAGCGAAAGAGATACACATACCGTCTCCCCAGACCTCTCCCCGGGTGCGCTCTGGCCAGATGTTCGAGGCGAGCCCAGCCCAGGCGACGAGGACCGCCCAGGAAGGCCCCGAAAGACGAATCCGACGCATTGCCTCGGTTTCGCCAAATTGCCTGCAAGCGCCACAGCACCAGAGCATGGGTGTCAGCCTCACAACATGCCTGTGAGCACCGCGCCGCACGAGGGGGAAGCGGCAACCTCCCCCCGAGTACGCGCGTTACCGTTAGGAGGTGGTGATGGAGGGGGGGTGAAACCCACTTGTCACGGACGTTGCGGGTTCACCGAATCAGAAAACAATCTCCAAGGGTAGCGGTATCGGTATCCATTCGCCTGCTAATGGGGGTCAAGCTTTTGGGGGTCTGAGTCAGCGAGGGGCAAAGTAGTGAAAACAAATTTCAGAACAAAAACTGGCACGGGCGAAACAAATCAATCGGAGGTACAAAAGAAATCGCAAAGAACATATATATGTTGAGACACATGTGGCCCCGAACATGAAAAAAAAACCCGATGAATTGAGGCGGCCCTACCTGGGCTCCCAAATGGCTGACCCCCGCTAGCAGGCGAAAGAGGAGAACCGTGCCTCCTGGAGGCGACCCGGGGGTCTGAACCAGAGAACCTGTCCGGAGGGGGAGAGGGCCAGATCCGCTCAAAATCGATCCCCGAATGCCTCATGGGGTCTACCTGGCGCAAGTCTTCCCCCTGGGCCCGCTTGTCACACGGCCCTGGGGCCCGGAAGCGGACCCTGGACGCCGCCAGAGGCACCACGAGAACCCCGCACCCGCCCGCCCTTCCTGTAGGCCGGCAGGGCCAGCTCGCGCCCCCAGACGGTTGGCTCCACGTTCCCAGATCCCCGACGCCGCAATTTTGTTCGTAGCGTCAACCCCCAGAGGTCTCGACCCCTTCCCTGGGGCCCGTCTCTCATCTCTGATCGTTGTTTGACAATCCCGAGGCCTGGCGAGGGCCCCCAGAAGCTGAAAATAGCTCAAGCTTTCCCGTCGTGATTTTTTTCACGACACGAGGAGGTCTGGGATAGTTGCCTCCCATAGAGCCCTCCTGGATGGGGTCGAAGTAGATGGCGTCGGAGGATCGCGCCGCATCGCAAATGCATCGGCGATGCATCGGCGATACATCGGCGATGCATCGGCGACGCGCCGGCGATGCATCGGCAACGTCGACGTGAAGGAAATCGGGCTCCACATCGCGCCACATCGGCGACGCATCTGTGTATGGGGTTGGAGTACAAAGGTACAGAACTCCTGATCCGCCGGTAGAGGAAAGGAGGGAAAGATGGATATCTTTTCCTCCTGCACGATCAAAGGTCTGATCGATCTATTCCAATACTTGAGCCCAAACGGCCAGGCGCAGGAGAGTGAGGATAAGGAGTATATATGAGGGTATTATACGGGTTCTAGTCACACCCCCCGTCCCGAATCCCGCCCGCAAGGGCAAGGCTCGGGAAAAGGAGAAAAGAACCTGTCACCCTTTTACTCCTCAAATCCTCAGCGCTGCAAGGCAGCTGAGCGTAAAATCTGCATCGCGTCAGCTGCGCCCCGATCACGACAGCGGTGTGCAAAAAGAAGCGTAGCACAACATCTGTCATGATCAGGCAAGTGAGGGAACGGGAGAACACCCGGGGCCGCTGTTTCTTCGCCAAGCACACTTTGGTGCCCCCTCGGTGCGCCCCCCAAAAACGCTTCGGCACTCGAGGGCGGAGAAGAATGAGACACGGGCGGGCGGAGCAAGAGGATCTTAGAAATTAAAGCAACATCAGAAGCTGCCGCGTCGGCACGCGGCAGGTGTTGACACCAGCTTTCAAACCAAAGCTGGGCATCACATCATTCTCAACGCAATGCAATCTCGAATTATACGGTGAAGAATAAGCAAACATAGTCGTGTTGAGGAACGCGATCGTGTTAAGAAACACGTTCAATCATCAAAGCAAATGCCTGGCCAGGCGTAGAGTCGCGTTGAGAAACACAAGCAAAACTGCATTAACAAATTCTGCAATTGGTTACTCCCGTCGGCGATGCTCCATAGGAGCCTGCCTTGGGTTTCACAAGTTGCGTGTGGGCGGCCGCTTTTCTTGCATCGTGAAGTGGCCGAAGATTATAATAGCAATCGCTGCTCGAGGCGAACTTTTGGAAAGAGGAAGTTCAAGCCAATCGAGCAGTGGGCCTTGCGGCCAACACAACTACGAAGTGCCTCTCATGTAGAACCTGTGGCCCCACACCCTGTGGCCATCGTTCTCGACGTAGCTCGTCGTGAATGTATCCCAAGGCGCCCTTGGGGTCCAGTTGCGGAACCGCTCGTTGTGCAGCAGGTCGCGGATTTACACGAACTCGTCGTTGTTGTCCGCGATGTAAATCCAGCACTTGGCGTAGTAGCTCCAGTACCTTGGGCCCCATGGGCTGTCCTAAAGGTTGTGGCGCCACCGCGTTGCGTAGTCCTCTGCCGCACGCGCCCGCTTGGCACGCGGGGGCGTCGCCGGCCCGCGGCTGCTGTCGCTGCTCTGCCGCGGCGCGGCGGCCGCGCCGCTCGGCCCAGCGGGCGCCCCCGCCTGCGCGCCAGAGGCGCGGGATCCAGCGGCGTCGCCGTGGGCAGCGCGAGGCGGCGGCGGACGCCGCGGCTGCTGCGGCTCCATGGCGCCATGCGTGTGGGAGGAGTGTGTGTGGGGGTCATTAGGATCGGCTCTAACCCCTGAACTCCCCCCCCCCCCCCCCTGCATTGGCAGATCCCATGGCAGGTTCGACAGAGGCGAGTTTGGCAAGCTTACGCTGCGTCACCTTTTCACAGGCGCCGTCCCCGCGGGGCAAAGCAATTGTGGTGAGGCCACGCTCTTGCCTGGTGCCTCTGTCCAGCCTGCCCTCGTTTAACCACCAGTTCCTGCGACCAGCGAGGCCAAGCCTAACGCTGCGATCATGGATGTCGCAAGCGTCGCGCATGTCTTCGATGGCCCAGGCGTGCTTGCCAGTCTCCACGCGAGCGGCAGTCATCTGGTGGCGGAAACGTGGGTCATTGAGGAAACGTTGGGCGACATGGCGGTAGGGGTGGCACAGAGGTCGCCAGGAGGGGGGCCTGCATCAAGCCACTTCTGATACCTCTCCCCCGCCTGTTTCGCATGTTTCCTCAAGATATCCTTCTCCTGGCCGTGCTTGGAGCGTCTGCCTGGCATGTAACCGCGCGCTCCATCTGACATGTAGCGCCTGTCGTCGTCCTCGGAGAGGTTGGTCTTGATCCAGTAGTTCAGCTGCTGGAGGTACGCCAGGTCGCTCTCCTCGGCGCCACCTT